TGTTTGGGCACTTCTGCTTTAGAGTGAAACAAACTAACTAAAACCATCTCAGAAATCAGAAAATCCGTTGCTAATGTTTGATGTTTGTGCTTTTGTTTTTCCACTAAAAAAAACATTGTTTCCTGGAGGAGGATGTGATTAATTATTTAATAAAAAATTCACTCCTATATTCAAGTAATTGTGATATTATTAAAGAGAAATGGTTATATTAATATTTTAAAATAAATATTCATATGAGTTTTCTTTGATAATAGCACAGTTAAGTGAACATAGGAGTAAACGTTTTAAATCAATAAGTTAGTATACATTTAATGTCATAGGTTTTATGTAAATATTTGATTAATTAGACATTAAATGTACTTTATAATAGTAATGACCCTCTTCACTTTGACTTTGTAAAGAAAATCTTCTCTCAGGACTTATGAATGAGACTGCAGACTAATTCTGTCATTGACATCTTAGTAGCCCCAAAAGAAAACCTATATTTGTCTTTGAAACTAATTTCAAACACAATATAGACAAAGGAATGACTTTTTCAACTGATTCAACTGTTGCTTTTATAACACAGTCCGTTTCTCCATCCAGAGTCACTGTGACCTGCTCATGGCTGTAGGGAATATACTACTGTGTACTTCACACTGAAAACTCTTCTAGAGAGAGTTGTTTCTTTACAGGAACATCGTGTTGCCTCTCTGTTGGCTTTAAATATGATTAATGAATGCATTCCAGTTGCTGTCTCTGTAATGAGATATTTATTGTGTAAATGATTGCTGCTGCAGTGCCTATATTGGCACAGGAACAGAATCGGTGTCGTGGATGAGTCACTGCATTTGTGTGTGTTTGTGTGTGTGTGTGTGTGTGTGCCCCGATACACTCATCTTACCCACCAAAGCCCCGAACACTTGTCCTGTGGTGCAGTTGCTTCCTCCATTGCTGAAATGACAGAATGGAAAGTAGTAGATACACCCACCTTACGCCCGCATCAGAGTCGGTAACGCCATTCTCGCCTGTAGGGAGTGAGAATGTGTAAAGTGGTGCAAGGATGTCAAACAGAATGCCGTTCATTCCAGAGCTAGGCAGAGGGAGCCGGTGCTGGTGTAGAGTTCAAGGGAATGCTGGGAGACCGCTGGGGTCGTGTCTTGCTGACTCAGCAGAAATCCTCCGCTGACGTCATTCTGCTTTCCCGTCTTTGCTCATCAGGCCGGAATCCTCCAAAAGCGGTCACTTTAGTGCAGCCCATCTCTGTGCAAACAAGTTACTCTGGCAGGGTCTGGGAACACATGATGGCATTTGAGCTTTTTTGTCAATTTATAAGACAGAATATCTCTTAATTATAAGTTGTTACAGTGACATCTGACTAGTCTGACTGTTTGAGAAAGAATGCCTTAATGATGCCTTAATGACAAACATGCAGTGTTCACTCCAGAAGATGTTAATTGATAGACTGGAGTGGTGTGGATTACTTGTGATGCTTTTATCAGCTGTTTGGACTCTCATTCTGACGGCACCCATTCACTGCAGAGGAGCAAGTGATGTAATGATACATGTCTGTGCCAAAAAGTTATTCTGGCAGGATCTGTGAACCAAGTAGCAGCAGTTCTGGTTAAGATGATGACAGTTGTGCTTTTTGTAGTAGATTCTTTATAAATGTATAACACAGAATATCGTCTGACTAGATCAGAGTGCATATGAGGATGATCCGTACTCAACGCCTGATGTCACGCTGAGAAACAGTGACTCATATAAAGAGTGTTGAGAGGTGAGATTTAATTGCACTTTTCAGCAAGCAGACAGCATCAGGCTGTTCTCAAACAGAGAAACAAAAGCACAAGAAGCTTAAATCCCCAGATTCAGAACTCAGTCAGCAAAAGTAAAGTGACCTTTGTTTTTAAGGTGGAAAGAAATTTTACCTGAGTCATTGTGCTGTGAGTTTCAGCTGTGCTAATAGTGTGCGCAGAGTTCTGCTCTCTTTCGGCAGGGGTCAGATGTTCTCTCTTGAGTTCTTGTCAGCTCATGAACACACTGTGCTTTTAGTGCTGTTCTGGCAGCTCAGCCTGGCACACAAAATCCCTCACAACAGGAACTTCACCACTGCAGAAAGCACTTTACATTGATATATATATATATATATATATATATATAATGAAATATTATTACAATTTAAAAGAAATATTTTCTATTTAAATATATTTAAAAATGTAATTTATTCCTGTGATCAAAACATTTTCAGCATCATGAAAATTCCAGTATTCAGTGTCACATGATCCTTCAGAAATCATTGTAATATGCTAATTTGCTGCTCAAGAAATATTTCTATTTATTATTAATTTTGAAAACAGTAATGCTGATTTAACTGTAATACATTCTTTAAGGATTAAATAAAACAGACACACATATAAAATATTTACTTTTATTATGCATTTTATTTTATATTCATTTTAATTACATAACCTTTAAGATTGATTGATTGATTGATTGTAGCTGCCAATTTTATATAAGAAGTGATTTGTCAATTAATATTTACAAACATTTCTCCAGTCAACCATTTGTAATAGAATTCATTGTTTCACAGCCCAGTTCTGTTTTTTGTGCTTTTTAAGAAAACTCAAATGTGAACTGAAGGCTGTCGTGCCACTTTTCAGTGTTGAATTATTGATCAGCTGTGTCAGCAAGATCACAGGGTCTGACTCATATCCATCTCTACCATTCCACTGGACACTTTTGCACCCGGACTGCCAGCTTTATTTCCCCCAAAGTGCCATCATGCAGATTGTTCTAGTGCTTGAGCACACAGCTTGTTTTTAGTGAACGGCTGGATGAATGCAAGTTAAAATAGAGCATATGCTGAAGGGTTTTCTTCGGTAGGATGTGGATGGGTACCGCCGCGCAGCTGCTCTCCTGTATAGAATGCCATTTGTGCGCTGTGTTAAGTGTTAAACGTCCACTGATGCTCCTGATGTCATGTGTGAGTAATTCTCTCCTGGATTTCAGCGGCTCTCCTCAGCTGTCGTTTCTGTACTGCCTAAACCCATGTTAATAAAAACCTAATTGAAAGAGTTTGAAACCGCAATGGATCAGTTACGTGGTTTGTGACAACCCTGCCTTGCACAAAGCCCCATGGAATGACGATATCCTTCAAAACTATAACGTGCTAAATGTTCTGCCTCTAACCTCAAAAATCAGTTCTGAACATGTAATACATTCACAGATGCCATTAGAAGCTGTTTAATTTATTAATCAAAGCTTCTGCTTTTCCTCAGAGAGATGATTGAGCGAGTCACAGGCTGTTGAATCCTATCTCAGGTAAACTGAAGTGATGTGCAGCAGATGTTTGGGTGTGCCGTAATCTGTCTGAATTTGAGATGCAGAGACAGCTGAATGCTGAAATGTCTGCTTTGATCTTAGTTTTGCAGCATTATCAGAATAGACGTGTGGAAATCGTGTGAATTATGCCACGGGGTGGATTCACTGTTTTGTGCATCAGCTTTAATGTGTGCAACCGGATTTATATGAGCAATTAAAACAACATCATTAAAAGTGTCCTACTTTTTTCATACACTATGTGTTAAAACATCCTTGCATGACGTCATAATGCTGCTTGAGTTGGTGCTAAAGGGTCAGAAGGGTTCAGGAATTTTGCTACTGATTTGAGATTTCTTTGCTAATTAGACTGTCACTGTTTAGCAAGAGCTGTAAGCATTTTAAAGACAGCTGATGACTACTCAGCTACAAATGTTCAAGTCGTGACTTTTAATTTTATTGCTACACGCTGCAGTTCTTTAGTTAACCTGAATGAGAGCTGTCAATTGTTAATGTTAAGGTTAAGTGAAGTGTTCTATAGGGTCTAGTTTTGAATTTATATTGTCCCATTATATATGATTGCACTGTAAAACAATTCCATATTGATTTTTACAGGTGTTTTACCTGTATGTTACATTTTTCAATGCATTGCATTGTGCTGTATAGAGTTCATGATTTTTTTCCCCCAGTGTGGTTTTACTAGATTTAGAAGCAGTCATAATGTGATTTTAAAATCATTGCCTAAATGACATAAACTGCTTTAATATATA